TCGGGCAGGATGGTTATCGCCATGTGCCGTTTAGTATCTCTCAGCTAAGACTAAGATATCCCTGAGTTGTTCGGCCCCATTTTCAGCTAAAAATGTTTGCATGGGCCGAGACATAGACTCCCTCACCTGTTCGGCCAGAATCATCTCTTCCAGTCCGGTGTAGCTATGTTCATATCCACCCAGAGTTTCCCATTTGAACAGGTAAGTTTGCAGCCTAGTGGAAAACTGGTGGAATGACTCGCCCGAAAGACGCCTGACGTTGCAGAATTTCTGACGGTACGCCAAGGAGGTAAGTTCGTATCGTTTGAGCAGTGCTTAAGCGCCTCAAAATCAGTTTCCTGCCCCGGTGGTAACCTAGCATACACCTCATACGCTACTCCCTTGAAACCCTGTGAAACTTTCAAATTCCACCTGTCTTTTTTAAGTTTCACAGATTAAGCCATACGCTGGAATTTATCCAAGTATGTATCGATGTCTTCCTCCTTGTCATTAAATGAACTAAAGGTGAAATTCATCGCTCCTGCTGAACTATTTTGACAAGGCTAAACATTCAAACTTGCCGCTGAAGATGCTGAAATAGATTGAGGGGTAGCTGATGCTATCTGCCTCTCTTCTGCTCTCAGTTGCAGTTCATGTTGGCGTTCTTTTTCCCTATCTGCAGCCAGTACTCTTTCAGTTTCCAGTGCTGCCTCCGCTATTCGGGCTTGATGTGCTTCTGCTCGTTCTTCTCGCTCTGCCTGTTCCCTAAGTATGTCTTCTTCTCTCAGTTCATCACTTTTCCGTAGGATGTAGTCTGTAAGTTCTCTGTCTACTAACCCCATCTCCCGACCTTCCTCTTTTAACTCCGCCACCGACCATCTTTTCGTAGCCATACTTATTATCTACAACTAGTGAGGCAAGGGGGTTCGAGATCGTGTACTGCTCTTAATGCACTAACTCGGCCAATGACTTGTAAAAGCAAAGAGATAGTACATAAGAAGAAAACAACAGTAATACAGGAACACTACTTTAAAATGTGAACAGACACCACAAAGCCTCCACAGCCCTGAATGCGCCTGCTTTTTGCCAATGACTCACAAATGTGAATCCTATTTTTTTATTTTTTTTTATTTTTTGCCAGTCACCTAACTTAAATATGCTTCAGCCTGAAGATACTAGAAACCTAACACTTAGGAATAGGGTACAAAATCCCGGACGAGCCTCCAGTGTGGCGATATGCAGATATAATAGAGAGGTCTATAATATTAAGACTTCCCTACAGCATGCCAGCGTCCGCAGTCTCAAGAAATGTTGGCTCGTGAAGTTATGAAAACTAGGGAGATTGCCCCTTTTAGTATAAGAGACTGTGACTTGGTCATGTGACAGGAGTCAGAAATGTAAGACTAGCTCTGGATGTAGAAAGCTTCAGGCTAGTCTAGATATTCTGTCGCACACCCTCCTGTCAGTAGATATATGAGCCCCCAGAAGGATACGTAAGGAAAGCTATGTCCCACGCACTAGAGTGGTTTTCCGTGGTGTACCACTGCCATTTCGTGACACATACACATACACACACCAGAAGCACAAAAGCCTTTTATGAGTAGGTATTCTAATTTTGAAATGATTCATGGGCAGTAACCTCTCCAGCTACGGTTTCTGTTTGCAGCTGGAGGGAAATGTTCACATGTGTAAACTGCACATGGATCTTGTTTGTCCTATGTGTATGTCCTATATGTATGCATGTGTAGCCGTGTAAATATGTGTTTGTATGTGTGTGTATTTAGGTATGTGTGCAAGAATACATGTATGTGTGTAAAGATGTGTGTATGTATAGATGTGTGTATGTATGTGTGTGTGTTTATGTATGTATGTATATGTGTGTGTGTGTGTGTATGGGTGGGTGGGTGTATTTATGCATGTGAGTGTATATGTGTGGTTGTGGGTGTCTGGATATGTGATTGTATGTGTGTGTATAAATGCAAGCATGTGTAGGTGTGTATGTATGTCAATGTATGTATGTATGTGTGTATGTATGCATGTATGTGGGTGTATTTATGCATGTGAGTGTATATGTGTGGTTGTGGGCGTATGTGGGTGTCTGGATATGTGATTGTATGTGTGTGTATAAATGCATGTATGTGTAGGTGTGTATGTATGTCTATGTATGTGTGTGTGTGTTTTATGTTTGTGCATGTATATGTATGTATGTATTTTATGTTTGTGTATGTATGTGGATGCATGTTTGTATGTATTATGTATGTCTGTAAATGAGTGTGCATGTATGAGAATGTAAGAGTATGTATACATGTGTGTGTGTTTGAGTGTGTAAGATTGTGTACACATGATGTGTGTATGTATTATTCCATAATGTATATTTCTTTATTACATCCATAACATGCATTATTGAAAACAGGCATTGGTACTCTGAAAAATGAGTGCTTAGAAGGGCCTAATGTCAGACGGGCTTGTGTGCCCAATTTGTAACCCTTTGAAAATAAAGTCTGTTCGTTCGTTCCTTATCCAGAAGCCAAGGTGTTTAACCAACTACTCAGAGATCAGGACAGACAACAAGAGCATAATAATGTTTGCTCCCTGGTTTACTTGAGCCAGATGAAGAGGCCGTACACCTCCACCTCTGCTCTCAACTCATTGTTTGAATTAGCATAGTATTTAAAGTGTCCATATCAAGCAAAAGTTCTATTTATGCTTCTACCCCATTCTTGTTCTATTTGCTGATGTACCCTCAGTAGTAGTCACTTGCATCAGTTGTTCTGCTGTTGACTTCCATATGAGGCAACACCTACCAGTAACTTTGTGATTGCCACGTTGAAACAGTTAGAGATGGTGATTTAAATTTAAAAGAGAAGAATAAAATGAATTTGTCTTTTTTGTGCCTAATCCTCTGATCAAAGTGAATCAGACATCCAGTATTTTAGCCAAGGGCTTAGATGTGGGGACAATCCTAGAATTGTTGTAAGGAATTGGTAAAATTACTTACAAGCAGAATATAAATCATTATCATTATAATAATAGCTGAGGGCATCGTACCAGGAAGGAGGGGCAGGGGCCGATCAGCACGAAGATGGGCACAGGATAAGAGTAATTCTTTGAATATGAGGTGGGAGAGTTGGTGGGAGTCAAAGTTTATTTCAGGCAGACTGTGATGAGAACAATGTTCTGCAAAAGACCCACTTTATAATGATGATGAGTTGTGTGTACACATTTGGATTTTTACTGGTTCTGTGTCATCATTCAGGCACAGCAGAAGCAAAGCAACAATGGACATGTGGCATAATTGGGATAATGAGCAGTGATTGAGTCACATACTGTGGAACTAAAACTATTCATATCTGATCACTGGAAAAAGAACAGAGACAACACTATTTTTGTTGAGTGTTTACACAACTAAGAACCGCATTTGAAAGAGACAGAAAAAGTAATGGATAAAGTAACAATACTGTGAAGATGGTAATGACTAAATCCAGTCGCTGGATTAAATGTTTACATTAAAAAGACAGATTTCTGTCTAGGACAATGCTGATGTTTCTGGTGCACATGCTGCCAGGCAGTAATGCCATTTTTGTTGTTAATCTGGCAGGAACCTCCCGAGCAGCTTTCTGACAAATAACAATCACTTTGTTGTTTGTGTTTACTGCTTTTAACTTTAGTGGTAATTTAATATTGTTGTTTGTTATTTTTAAAATGGGTTTTGGTGGAAAAATTTCATGTGTTAAAATTGTTGCTATTTTTATTGTTAATTTTTGTTTATTTTTTGTTTATTTTTGTTTCAGGTTTTATTTGTAACTAAAAGTTTTTCATAAATTTAATCTAAACGTTAAGTGTCTTCCCAATTTTTAAATTGATAAATTTTTTCCTTTAACAGACAATAAATTGAAAAGTAAAGAAGCATTTCATAATTTCACCAGTCACTTATTAGTTCATTTAAATATTGTGAAACCTCAGTTCTTGGATGCCTCCTTCTGGGATATTTTGGTTTCTAAACAAATTGTTGTGTGCGGAAAAGCCTTGGTTTTCTAACAGAACCTCAGATTCTGAACAGACATTCTGATACCATGTACTTCACAGGATGGGATTGTCGTGAAAGAGTAAATTTGGTGCAGTGCAGATTGCTGCTTTATACAGTGTCCTCCATGGAGACAGTTCTCTGGTTCACCACCAGGCTTTGTGGATCAACTGATGTATGGAGTTCTCACCTCCTACACAACTTCTCCAATCCAGCCCATGGACCAGCCAGATCATTGCAAACTTCAAGAAAATGCACCAAAGCACTGTTTCAGAATTGTTTCACAGTGACCTCTGACACACAGTTGAAAGTGACCTCTGACACACAGTTGAAAGTGACCTCTGACACACGGTTGAAAGTTAGAGAAATCAGTTGAAAATCACTTCAACATCCAGAGTTGTTGAAGCATGGCCGACATAGCTTGAGTGCAAGTAACTGGCAGGACCATAATCTTGGCCAGGAGAGAAATATGGCCAGACTGTGTAGAAGACAAGAATGACTGCAGGCTTTGAGGTAAAGTCAGTTGCTTTTATCGTTTGTGTTCGGGCGAAGGCTTAGTCTCTTAGAAGTTGACACTGCTGACATGGAGAAGTTAGTGGAGGATTACAAGAATGAGCTTACCTAGAAACACAAATGGAACACCTTCAGAAAGAATAGAGAAACCTTCCTCATCAGTTTTTTATTTATGACATCTTCTCTTTGTTGTGCAGTTATTTATATATTCTTTGTGCAGTTTTTGTGATTTTTTTTATTAGACTATAAAACAACTTATTTCATTTTACAAAAATTCTTTTCAGAATAAATTTACTTTAAGAACTGAGGTTTCACCTAAGAATTGAAAAAAAAGCTAAACGTAATATTTTTCATATCACGAAATGAGCAAAGATTTCATGTTAATTATAAAAGTGGCATTTTTACATTACATACTTTAATTTAATTGCATTTCGTTTAGATTAAAAGTGGTCCATTACAAATATTCAGTAATGTTTATTTCCAGCACCAAAACCTGGCTACGGTCCATCTTACATTGCTCCCCGAGCTGCTACATTACCATTGGCAGGGGCATATGGTGCTAGGGACTTTGTAAGTACATTCTAACCTACTTAGTACATGACCAGTAACTACTGTAGTTATGTGTCAGTAACAAATAAACACTTGAGTGCAAAGATAACTCGTATATTTTATGTGTAATTGAAATCTGAGATGCAGGAGTTAAATAACAATCTGTGTGACTATGCTGGAAAATCCATCATGTGATTATTGTTATTTGTCCGCAGAAGTTTTTCACTTGAATGCTAGTTGAATCATTCAGAGCCTTTAGATGTTTCCACTTTATTTTCACAAAACTGAAGTAGTATGGGTTTTGGGGCCCGATTTTTGTTGGGCAAATGTGTTACCGACATGTGACCAATTAAGGGTTTCTCCTTCACAGCTTGGGTGCATCTGCCTGAGAGGTGAAGAACCAGTAGCCTGCATACAAATAAGCCAAACATGTAAAATGAATCTGCATGCAAAACTCAAGTTCCAGAACAAAACCAAAGTCCAGAAGTGATTGAACAACCAGAACTTTCCACCAGAGTGGTGAACACTAAGTAGAATTTAAGAAGTAATGCTTAGCCAAGTTGGTAATTTTGTGTTGTACTTGTGTTACAGAGATTTTTTGACTTTGGTGAGGAGGACAGACACGAGAGATCAACTCGTAAGTTGCTTGTGTTTAATGTTTCAGATTTGTGTTTATATGAATTGTCAGTCAATATTTGAGATGTGGCCTTTTTCTCTTTCCCTATAATTGATTCAGAACTGATATCAAATCCTAACAGAGCCAGACTTTAAAAAAAAAAAAAATAGCCTTGGCTGCCACGTTGGCACGTCCTCAAAGGGGTACCAGGTAAAGTCCTGGGAGGTAAAAGAGGCCGGCATAATATTGTCCACATCGCCCACCGAGTGCACTTTGCCTTAAATCATATAGGTCTAGCGCTATATACCTAAAACCTTGAAAAGGGCCCTTTTTGTATTGTATAAAAGTTTAAAAGAGAAAGGGAGAAATTAGAAGAAGATATAAACGGGGAAAGAGAGATGAGAAGAGTTAAGAAGAGAGAGACAAAAAGGAGAATAAGAAGCAATAAGAAATTGATGCTCCTTCTCAGCATGGGGAGTGTAGTAAGCAGTCTATACCACAGATGATCAGCCACTAGTCGGTGGAGTTTTAACAGAATTAGTAATAGTGGTCTAGAACACCAACAGACGGTGTACAACACCACACCACCTATTCTCAGATAACTTATTAGGAATAACCACTAAAAACAATTTTTATTAATCTTCACAAATTTGGTTTCTCATCAAAACAGGACATAATACACAAGATTTATAAAATGTCACAACCAAAGTGAAATGTTAACAATGAGATGATACTACCAATAGAATCCTGTATACCCTTTTTAACCCAACATCATGGACTATGAAAGTAGGACCTAAAATATAGTGACTAGAACTACTAGCATAGTAACTAAATAGTACTAAATAGTAACTAGTTATCATGACCATTTACAGAATTTCTAACCTTGCCATGAATCAGTATTTAGTCCCATCTACAAACTACCATTAGTACCGGCCTGAACTAGTCAACCACACACAACTTTGACATAAACTGCCATCGGTCACATGTTAAATGCACCAAAACAACCTCCAAATGCATGCTTGCATGCATATAAACATACAGCACTATAATATTAAATTTTATTTTACCAATATCAGCAATTGTTAATGTTCACATGAACATTCCCACTTGACTAAATAAATGAATGAATGAATGGACATCACTGCACTCGGGACATCACTGCACTCTGGACATCACTGCACTCAGGACATCACTGCACTTGGGACATTCCCACATGTGCTCCATCCCTTTCTTTAGTAGCCAACAAAGAGGGAACATGTAATAGTAACACTTGCAATCTGATTAAAAGTCCAACCATGTTTCTCCCTTCATGCTGAATATCCTTCAGAAACTCCCACTTACAAACATACACATTTATGCTCTTCTGTTTCTGCTTATCTACATGTTCATCCCACAAGCATGCTCTCAGTCAGCACATATGATGTATACAGGTAATCATCCTTTTTATATCAGTGTCCTTTGCCTTTACTCTTCTGATTTTCGCTTAAACTGTAAGCCACAAAGCCGTAATGGACACAATCTACGCTAACAGACACAGCTGAAGCACATACATGAAATAGTTTACCCGATCTAATGTAATATAACACACCTACCTCTGATTGCCATGCCACTGCTGTAAGCAAAACATCATCTTCCAGTTTTGACAATGTTTTTGACGGCAGTTCCTAAGAATTGTCAAAGTCATAGTCATCTTGAAGCTGTTCAGAAGTAGCTTCACCTTCACTTTCTGATTTAAAGCAATCAAAACAGGATCCCAGACAATAAGCAAGCGAGAATGCAATTAGTATCATGGCATCTCTCTTCTAAGTCATGTTCAAAAAATTTATGCTAAGATAGTAGAAACGAGGCTGGGACCAGTGATAGATCCACAGTTGACAAAAGAACAAATAGGTTTAAGAAGAAACAGAAGCTGCACAGATGCAATCTTCACACCTAAACAGTTAATAGAAAAGAACATCCAGTATGATCAGAACTAATTTGTAACATTAGACCAGGAGGAAGCTTTTGACAGGGTGGATAGAGAAAAAAATATGGATGGTAATGGCTCGATATGGAGTAAGTTAACACCTAATTTATATTTTCAAATGCTTATAAAGCTATTGTAGAAGCGTGGTTAGAATAAATCAGGGAACATCTAAACCATTCAAAGTAACATCTGGAATAAGACAGGGATGTGTCTTATCACCACACCTGTTTATCACCTACATTGACAGTATAAGCAAGGATCCCAGGCCCAGGAACGAAAATAATAGAAAAATCAACGAATTACTCTTTGCTGATGACCAGACCTTGATTGCAGATACAGCCATGAATTTGCAACAGCATCTCACATCCATGAATGAAGAATGTAAATCAAATAATATGAGAATCAACATCGAAAAGACAGAAGTAATGTCAGAAGAAAAAAAGAATTAGGATTTAAGCATTAGAGCATAGATATATTAAACAGGCATCTGAGTTAAAATATCTTGGAACAACATTCACTGAAGATGGTAAATTAGACGAAGAAATTGACATTCGATGCGGTAAAGCTGAGACAGCTAGCCCCATTCTTACAGCATAAGGCAATCCTAATCAGCACAAAGAGATATCTCATACAAAGCCTATTTATTCCCACCCTATGCTACCAGTGCAGACGTGGTCACTCACAATAAAACATAAAAGAAAATTAGTAACCATGGAAATTAGTTGTCTGAGAAAGGCTGTAGGAGTGACCAGAAGAGATAAAATCAGGAATGAGGTCATACGAGATAAAGTTGGTACAGAACCAATTCCAAAAAATCATACAAAGACAGCAAAACAAATGGTTTGCCCACTTGGAGAGAATGTCTTATGATACTATACCATACAAGGCATATACCAATAGAGGAGAGGGATGTAGAGCAATATGGAAAGATAACATCAGAGAAACTCTACAGCACCATGATGTGTCTGTGGTTGAAGCAGCCAGAAGAGCACGAAACAGGACCATTTATCTCTCTCGACACCCGAAGCGGTAAAAGAGAAAGTAAAGAAGAAGAAAAAGAAGAAGGCAGTATCCCAAAATATCAGGAATGTTTCCCAGAATCCTCCACCATGCCAGACCTAATGATCAGCTGCCACATCAGAACATTTTGTTCATGCGCCATCGACAGGGGAGCTCACCAAAACAGTGTGTGGAAAGTTTACTTTAAGCACAACTAAATTGTTTCCCTTAAAGAACAATAGAGAAGTAAATGGACTAACGGTTGCAACTGTATTCATTGCAAAAGTTGCAGTTTTAGCATGGTGGCGAGCGCCTAAAGTTGCAATTGTGGTAGCCAGGCATAAATGTCGGCGGATCGCATAATGTACGATCGTGGTAGTGAGTGCAGTAAACAGATTCTGTACTTTAACTTACTTGTTTCAAATTTTCAGTGAAACAATTCTGATGGGTTTAATGCTTTGGTATATCACAAATTGCTGCCTGTATGTTTATTTATTGTGTGATTTTAAAAACTAGAATATTGTATGTTTTTATTTCAGATAATTGTATTTTGTATTGTGGTAAATACAGTGTGTAAATGTTCATGTAGATAATAATATTTAACTCTTTGCCTGAATTAATTTGAATATTTATTACAGATACATCCTCATCAACTTTGACAGGAGATACCAGTTCTAGGGTAAGTGTAAATCTCTCGGCTTCTGTGATATATTATCGAGTAAACAGTTATTAACAACAGTAAAAGATTCAGTGGTGTAGATGTGCAACAGTTGTAAAAGATAATCCTCATCATTAAATGCCTTTCCGAGTGGCATGGGATGTCATGCCTCCCCACAGCCTGTGGTCTCCAGCAGCATGTATAGTACATGTGCTGACATTCCTCCATGTCCTGACACAAGGCTGTCTAGAACCTTCTCACCATGTCCTCTCCCTCTTTCCTCGAGTCTTTCCAGTGGTCACTATATGTTTCACTTTTTATTTTTTTATTTTAAAGTGAGACAGAAAAATCATGACTCTTTTTCTGATAATAAGTTATTTTCAGGCCCTCATCATCATCATAAGGTGCCTTGTCGACTGGCGTGGGCGATCATGTCTGTACATAATCTGCGATCTCCTGCAGCATGTATCAGTTCGTGTGCCGACACACCTCCATGCCATGCAACAAGACTGTCAAGCATCTTCTCTCGTTGTCTTCCTCTGTCCCTCCTTCCACAGATCTTTCCAACATGGCCGAAAAATGATGACTGTCTCCTTCTGATGTCTTTGATAAGTTGTCTTCGGGCTCCTGCCTCTTTCAAAACCTCTTGGCTGCTATTTTTGGCTGTCCCAAGGTATTCTAAGCATTCTTCTGTAAAAAACAATCTCTGGGGCCTTTAGAAATTGTTTGGCCTGTCTACCGATTGTCCAGGACTCACAGCCATATGTTAAAACTGGATGTATGTAGCAAGCAAGAATTCTTTTTCTAACTCTCAATGACAAGGATATATTGCACACAAGATGTTTTTCATTTTATAAAATGCAGTTTTTGCCTGTCCTATTCTGTTTCTTATCTCAGTTATGGATCTTCCATCTGATGTTATCCATGTGCCCAGATATTTAAATTTCTGTACTTGTCCTAAAATAACACCATTGACTTTTAATTACACATTTGGGAATAATTTGTTTCTTTATACTATCATTACTTCTGTCTTCCCATTATTCAAACTGAGGCCCATTCTTCCACTTTCTAACACCACAATGTCTATCCTTTCCTGTAGTTCTTTCTGACTTGTTGCTATCACGGCTGTGTCATCAGGCCCTCACCCTTTCAAAATATCTGGATTACTTGTGGCTGTCCAAGGAATGTTAGGCATTTTTCTGTAAAAACCTCACCTCTGAGGCCTTAAAAAACTCATGGTCCCGGATTCACATCCAAATGTAAAACTGCTCTGTATAGAATACAAGAATCTAAACTCCCATGACAGAGATTTTTTGTATATGATGTTCTCCAGTTTATAAAATGCATTTTTGTCCATCTTATTCTGTTCTGTTGTTTGTGTGATACATCTTTCACATGATGTTTTCCATAAGCCAAAGTTCTCCAACTTCTATACTTGTCCTAAGATACTACTGTTAACTTTAATTTTAAATTTTGGTTTACTTTCTGTTATATTGCCATTATTTCAGTTTTCCCATTATCAAAGCTGAAGCCCATTCTTTTACTGTCAACCACCACCATTATCTGTCATTTCCTGTCATTCTTTCTGACTAGTAGCGTCATCAGCCTGTTGTAGATTATTTACTTAATGACAATAGGCTCTGATCAGTTTGGATGTAAGCAGCAAACAGTTAGATCTAATGACTGGAAAACATTAATATACGTTATCAGCATAGCTGCTTATACACCAGAATGAACTGCTTTATTAAGTTTAAACAGAAAGAAAGTCAGTTCAAAGTAATTATTTGTAGTTTATTGTACAGAACAATAGAAGGTAGAATTCTGTAATTGTGAGAAGGCTGACAGTATTCTAACATTGACCTTTATATTTAGAAAAGTTAAGAGATATCCCCTAAATAAATTGTGCTGTAGGAAACAACAATATGAGACTAACCTTGCGTAAAGGTGGTGTCACACCTTGATGCACCCAAGACTAGATAACTATACGCTGACCTTCAGGTTATCCAAGTAAAAGTTGATATGAATTTTCTTACAAAATCTTTTTCACACATTTTACTAAGAATACGAAATGTAGGAGTGATTTGATGCCCACACATAAAAAAACACAGATGTAATTTACAGGAGTTCTTTTAGAGATAGTAATGCAAAGTAGCATCTTAATTATTTTTTCTCTATTAACTCTTTCAGTCCCATGAGAACATCCTAAGGAGTTAATGGCTGCCATCATAAGTGCGTTACTTTTATACTGGCTGCAGAGACTCGAAGCACTCACTGTAAAGGCTAGATTTCTTTAATATTCTCTGACAACATAAGAAAATGTAAGGGAAGCATCGGGTAATTATAAGGAAGCAAAGGAAAACACATATCTTTCGTTCTTTGGGACTGAAAGAGTTAAACAAAATATTAATTCAGTTAATATCAAAACCTTAAATTGATTTCAGAAATTAGACACAGATTATACATTTTTAAGGCTTGTCAGGGGGAAAAAAATATACTTGAAAATATAGTGACTTTTGCAGAGTAAGTGGAAAAAAATGAGCAAGGACAAGATAAAGAAATAACTGTCTGAGTAACTTAACCATTTGGTATAATTGGGATGAGCACACAGACCTGATCTGAGACTGATGATAGTGGACCACCCATACATACCCTCATGGTACATGATGACAACAGTTGCATTCATCATAGTTGATGTTAATTCTGGTTGGTTTCCAAGAACATTTGTTGCCTTCTTCATGATTAGGTCACTTTCATAGACAGAGGGGTGGGAATCACAAATGGTGATTCACCATGTCATTTTGTCTGTCAGTGAGGATCAGTGTTCTCATACCGTCTGTAAGTAACAGGCTTTGATGTTTGAACAACAGATCAACATCATGGCACACGGGTAATAACTCATTAGTGCTCCGTTCTTCTTCTGACTCAAATCTGAGCCCAAATAAGCTTAACACAGGGCACAGGCTATGTAGCATCATCGAGGATCCTGAAATACTTTGGGTAGATTTTTAACTCTAAATTTTTGCCCGATTTCCAACTGCCAAGGGATTTTTGTACATGCGCAGCAATGCACAGGGGTGTCCGAATCTCACTACCCAGAGACCAGGGGGAATTACTAGAAGTCCAAGTCCACGTGAAAAAAATCCCAGCCCTTACAAAGGATTGAACTTAAAACCTCTAGCACTCAAGGTGGACACCATGCCTTAAGACCACGTAGCCCCCCCTAAGCAACAGGCTGTTCTACCACTATTCCTCTTTTTCTGCTAAGGCAATAGACCCAGTGACTGGCAGATCTCAGAATTGTGGGTATTAGGTGTGTGTCCTGTTTGATCAAGTCCCATTGCTTCTACAATTCTTGCTCAGCTTGTGGATGCATCCATGTGAGTTTGTCTCCATCACCCTAAATGTTCAAGGTCATATGTTTACATAGACTTGTTAATTATGATGTAGTGGGTAGAGACTTGTCTGATGCTGATATTGAATTTGGGTACAGTAGATGTTCTGTCCTAATGGTGAACCCTTATTATGATTCCCTCACACAGAGGCATGATACATCCTACAGTGGCTATGATCCACCATCCATATCATTGCTTCAGCTGCAGAAAAACACTTGGCACACTGAAATAGAACCAACAGTAAGTTTATACTAAAAACATGCATATGAGTATTTCTACAAACTGCTGATTGTAGATTTGTGTGTGTGAGTGTCTTTATGTCTCTCTCTCTCTCTCTCTCTCTCTCTCTCTCTCTCTCTCTCTCTCTCTCTCTCTCTCTCTCTCTCTCTCTCTCTCTCTCTCTCTCTCTCTCTCTCTCTCTCTCTCTCTCTCTCTCTCTCTCTCTCTCTCTCCATCCATTATCCATAACATTATATGTGGTGAAATTAAAGACTTTGTGAGTATGGGTGTGTGCGTACTCGCACCCACTCACACATTTATGTGTGCACACACTGCACATGCACACACACCTGTGGTATGTTCATTTGAAACCTATTCCAATAGCTTTATTACAAAAGCATGAAAGAAACATCAACATGTGTGGCAAAATTAAACAAAGCATTCATTTTGAATGAATTGTTGGGCACCATGGGTTGATCAGAAAGAAGTTTATATGTCTGTCAGGAAAGCATCCCATAACTTATGTGGGCGGCACTTGCCATTTGCAAAAAAATAGGATTGTAGTTGCTTACTGAACCAAGTGTTTACCACATTTAATATGTGGTACCCACTATGAACACACTTTAAGATATTGCAGTTTGTTAGAAAAAACCTTTTGGACTGTCCCAATTAACATGCTAGATTCTTTTGCTAGTGAACGTATGCTTCGACAACTGTTTACCTGTATTGATATATCAGTTTGAAGGTGGGTTTTTTCTGTTGCAACAATATGCACTTGACCCAACCTGGAAGATCTGTCTTGAACTCACATCCTTTCCAAAACCCCAGTGTTCTGTCTGTCAATGTTGTCTTCAACACACAAACCTTATACCGCCTGCATTTTTTCAGTGAATGTCTGCTGGCTTATTTCCTTCAAATAAAAGAAACTGAATCACTGCTTCTTGAGCTTCTTTGGGTGGATTTTAGATCAGTCCATTCATTTTCTTAACAGTCAGAAACAAAACCTCTGCATCTTTTATTAATTGGTCAGTACTTGACAATAGCATGATCATGTTCAACTCACACAGTTATGAGCATTGTGCCATGAACAGGTTTTAGATGAACACTATATATGTATGTGTGTATGTATGTATGTTTGTGTGTGTGTGTGCATATATATATATATATATATAGAGAGAGAAAAGGCATTTTATTTTTAAAGATGTTTTTAAAAAAAATGCTTTATTCTTTCGGTGTAACTGCCTCATACCAAATGTTAGTAATTCAGTTTTTTTTGTTTTTCTCTTCTTCTGCATTTTATCTGCCAGTGTTGTTTAGGCCTTTAACCAACTCAGCCTAGTCTTCCTAATATTTGCTGTCTCCTGCATCTTCTTCCATGTCATGGCCTCTCTTCTATTTCTTCTATTTTATTGTTTTTGTTAGGCCTCCCTCTAGTTTCTTTTACCTACATAATTCTGACATTCCATCTGTGCTTGCTGCTGAAGATGAGAATAAAGCACTTATGGGATATCTTAAGTGCTATAATGTTGGTTCTTAACTCATAACTCCAACATTAATCTGGAGATTTTCCTAGATGATAGGAGGTTCAGTTGAGGATCATGATAATTTGTTATTACTGGTTGGCAAAAATCATAAGGTTTTATTGTTTTGTTAATTAAATTCCTTTTCTTATTTTATGTGAAGAAACTCAAGTTTTAAAATTGTAATTGTTGACAGTTAATATACTTGCCTCAGTTTATGAATGGTTTAGTTTTTGACGTCATTAATGCAGTAATCATTGTTATCTCATGTGACCAGATTTACCCTTATGATAAGCTGAAGATCACCAATTTTGATCTGCCAAAAGATGTGGACATAAATCACCTTGAGGTGAGTGATCACATGTGATTTTGCCTGTAATAATAGTTTCTTGTTTGATGACACATACTTTGCATTTAAAAATTGTTTCTTGTTTGATGACACATACTTTGCATTTAAAAATAGTTTCTTGTTTGGTGACACATACTTTGCATTTAAAAATAGTTTCTTGTTTGATGACACATACTTTGCATTTAAAAATAGTTTTTTTTTGTTTGATGACACATATTTTGCCCTTAACAATAGTTTCTTGTTGGTTAACACAAGATTTCACCTCTAAAAAATAGTTTCCCTTATGAGGACACACAATTTTTTACCTCTAAAATTTTTTGATGACACAAGGTCTTACCTCTAAAAATATTTTCTTGTTTAATAAAACACAATATTTTGCATGTAAAATTGTCGGATGACACAAGATTTTTGGCCTCTGTAAATAGTTTCTTGTTTGATGACATACTAGATTTGATTGTCTTTTGCAGATTCACTTGTCTAATCAGGAGTTTGAAAGGTTGTTTAACATGCCTAGGGAAGCCTTCTACAAAATGGCAGAATGGAAACGTAATGACATCAAACGCAAGCTACATTTATATTAGACTGCTAAGTGAAAGTTAATGTTTATTCACATTTTAACATAGGATATTCTTATTGTGTGATGATAAAAATTCTTCATGAAGTACAGTTGTTTGAACTGTTATTATAAATCATTAGCTTTCCAATGCAAAATGTTGTGCTTTTTAAGACAATTTTATTGAAAGTTATAATGCATTTTGGAATTAATTGGTTGTAGTTATTTTAAAGTAACTGTTGAATGTATACTACATAAAGAGGGGCTTCATTCTCACAACTAAATACATTTCTGTTGGATGTTTGCAAGGTCAACATGCCTTTTAAGTCACTGCTGGCAATTTTTGATGATTCTCATGCGTGAAGTTGATGGTTAAAATATATATATAATAATGTAGGGAGAAATCAGCATCTCAGTTTGCTTGATATCAAGGCCAACAACTGTCCATTAACTGAACACTAGGTACATATTTGTGTATATGCTGCCCCCTGGTAATGGCCCATATGTGTGAATGATAATTGTACCTAGGCTATACTAGGTGAGAAATTAACAGTTTGCTTTGGGACTGTTTGTCTGCCTCGATTGTATCAGACATCTTGAAGAATTTAATGGATGTTAGCTCTAATTATACATCAATGCTTGTATATGTATGTGTCTTACTATATGCATGTATGTATGTCAACTGCTTGTGTAACCTTGAAGCCTTATGTCCTGCTTTGGAATTATTAGGTTGCTATCCTACTCAGGCTTGCAGAAGGTACAGTGGATATGTTTGTTGCTTGACTTACTTGTTCTACCCCTGATGATTTTGGTGATTACGTGTTTATAGTAAAGTTAGCAAGGCTGTCTTGGAGTGTTTGATAGCAGAATTTGGTCATCATTGTACTGTCTTTCCACCTGTTTGACAGCAGAATCTGGTCATCATTTTACTGTCTGTCCACCTGAGTTTGACAGCGGACACTTTTTGACATTATCATTGTATTCAATATGGTTATTTATTTAATTCATTGTTGTTTCATGTCTGTGTCTCATCTTGCAAGTGGACACATTTGTGTGTTTGTCACTTGTATAGACACTGTTGCATGAGCACATGAGGTTGTTCTAACATGAACGTTTGCTGTGGCATGTTGATGTAACTGTTACTTTCATGCGGTATTTGATGTGTTCTCATTTATTGTAAAATGGATTCCTTGCAAGTCATTTGCTGAAAGTCACCAGAAGCCAAGATAACATTCTCCTTGGGATCCCTTCCTATTGGTTGCTTTGTTTGTGTGGGTTTTATGCGGTTTTATGGCAAACTGTTTTGCTGACCCAGAATTAATGTTGCACAAGTTCTTGGAATTCATTTACTGATGACGAAGTGTTAGAGTATATAAATTATACTATACCACTAAATCAGTTCTTTAGGGAAATTCATTTTTCATTGGCTTTGAAATAGTAAACCAGCTCCTTTCTCCAGGCTGGTGAGAGATGCAGTTGTGAGCATCTTGAGGGACTTGCAGAAATTTACTGTCTAATTGTCTATGTATATAATATCTAATTGTCTATGTAAGTAATATAGCTGGCTGAAAGGTTGTGCATTGTGATTTGCGTGTGTTGATAAACAGATATGTACAAGATTTAACTGATTGTTGTTACAAAGTAGATAGTTCCACAACATAATGAAGATATTGAACACAGCTGCAGAAAAGTAATATTTTCTGTATGGACACAATACCTAATGTTGTGTGGACTTGATAGATTGTTCTGTGTGGGCACAATACCTAATGTTGTGTGGTTGTTCTGTGTGGGCACAATACCTAATGTTGTGTGGACTTGATCGTTTTTCCTATATGGACACACTGCTGAATGTTGTGACTGGACTTGATAGATTGTTCTGTGTGGACACATTGCTGAATGTTGTGACTGGACTTGATAGATTGTTCTGTGTGGACACATTGCTGAATGTTGTGACTGGACTTGATAGATTGTTCTGTGTGGACACATTGCTGAATGTTGTGACTGGACTTGATAGATTGTTCTGTGTGGACACATTGCTGAATGTTGTGACTAGACTTGATAGATTGTTCTGTGTGGACACATTGCTGAATGTTGTGACTGGACTTGATAGATTGTTCTGTGTGGACACATTGCTGAATGTTGTGACTGGACTTGATAGATTGTTCTATGTGGACACATTGCTGAATGTTGTGACTGGACTTGATAGATTGTTCTGTGTGGACACATTGCTGAATGTTGTGACTGGACTTGATAGATTGTTCTGTGTGGACACATTGCTGAATGTTGTGACTGGACTTGATAGATTGTTCTGTGTGGACACATTGCTGAATGTTGTGACTGGACTTGATAGATTGTTCTGTGTGGACACATTGCTGAATGTTGTGACTGGACTTGATAGATTGTTCTGTGTGGACACATTGCTGAATGTTGTGACTGGACTTGATAGATTGTTCTGTGGGGACACATTGCTGAATGTTGTGACTAGACTCGATTGATTGTTCTGTATGGACACAATGCCTAATGTTGTGACTGGACTTGATTGATTGTTCTATATAAACACAATGCCTAATGTTGTAACTGGACCTGTTAGAATTCCCGGGCTGAAGGGAACATAGATGAACAAGACAAACAGCTTGTTTGTCTTGAGAGCCAGCAGTGGCTATATGAAATAACAGATTTGAACACAAGTTCTTTTATATTCTAGTGGGGAAGTTTGTCATTTGCACACTGGCCAAACCCACCAGTACATGTTGCACAGGGTGTAGAAGGGGATAATTCCAGTAACTCACTGGTTGGACCACCTCCACCAGCACATGTTACAGGGTGTAAAAGTGGATAATTCCAGTAACTCACTGGCTGGTCTACCTCCACCAGCACATGTTACAGGGTGTAGAAGTGGATAATTCCAGTAACTCACTGGCTGGACTACCTCCACCAGCACATGTTACAGGGTGTAGAAGTGGATAATTCCAGTAGCTCACTGGCTGGTCTACCTCCACCAGCACATGTTACAGGGTGTAGAAGTGGATAATTCCAGTAACTCACTGGCTGGTCTACCTCCACCAGCACATGTTACAGGGTGTAGAAGTGGATAATTCCAGTAACTCACTGGCTGGTCTACCTCCACCAGCACATGTTACAGGGTGTAGAAGTGGATAATTCCAGTAACTCACTGGTTGGACCACCTCCACCAGCACATGTTACAGGGTGTAGAAGTGGATAATTCCAGTAACTCACTGGCTGGACCACCTCCACCAGCACATGTTACAGGGTGTAGAAGTGGATAATTCCAGTAACTCACTGGTTGGACCACCTCCACCAGCACATGTTACAGGGTGTAGAAGTGGATAATTCCAGTAACTCACTGGCTGGTCTACCTCCACCAGCACATGTTACAGGCTGTAGAAGTGGATAATTTCAGTAACTCACTGGCTGGTCTACCTCCACCAGCACATGTTACAGGGTGTAGAAGTGGATAATTCCAGTAACTCACCTATTACAAACAGGCTGTATCTCTGTGAATGAAACACCTCTGAAGTCGAGATGTAGACATCTATATATATGTTGTTTTGTGTGATTGTATCGTCATCTTCTTCTGCCTTCTGCCCCTTAATATAGCATAGGCCCTCAACCAACTCATGCCAAGTTTTTATGTCCTTTGCCTGTGCATGCAACTCACCCCATGTCCTCCCCATCTTTTTAACTTCCCCTCTAGTTCCCTTCTCCATGTGTTTTTTCAGCTAGTACTCATTAGATTGTCTTCATGTCCATCTGAGGGCAACACAAAAACATGTTTGCTTAGACAGTAAGAAACAAGTATAAAGTTGCCATTTATTGATACTCACCTGCAGTCTTGAATCCCAGTCAGTATGAAAGTTTCCATTTTGATTTATTTAAACTAAAAACAAATGCATTTACCTGTTTGGTCTGCCAAGGGACACAATACAATTGTAGTTTGATGGCAGTTGTTGATATTTTGTCACTGTGTATATTGGTTGTTAGATGTTTTGTGTGATTGGTCAGATTCCCAATCAGTTAAAGTGAGTTATTTATAATGTCATCTCTTTTGATGTGGTAATCACTGAATGTTATATTTGTATGCTTGTTCTTGTAAGGTTAGTGGTAAATTTTTATTTTTTTTGCAAGTTATATTTTATACTGCTGTCATTTTACATAGTTTTAAATATTGGATTCTTATTTAGCTGACTAGAAACATTGCACGTCCCATATAGATCTTGGTAGTAGTAAGTAACAAGTGGAAGTTAATATTCATATGTATCTTTTTCCTGAAGAACATCCTTACAGTACGGACCACAGCAGTAAGGCAGTTGTAATTGATTGCTGCTCTATATTTTGGTGCCAAATAGTGCTCATGTAAGATTATAATCAAACACAATCAAAGATTGCATACAATGAGTGTAGTAAGAAGTAGAAATTTTCAGGAGCTATAGAGGAGTAGTTTTATCAAAAGACACATATATGTGGATCAAGCAGGTTTTGTCACCGAGACAAATGAACGAGACACTGTCACTGAGCACTGACACCAGCCAGTTGATGTTCTGAAGACATGTCACCATCAGATCATGTCAATGTAGGATGTATTAGACAGATCAAGGCATGGCACCATCAGATCATGTCAGTGTAGGATGTATTAGACAGATCAAGGCATGGCACCATCAGATCATGTCAGTGTAGGATGTATTAGACAGATCAAGGTATGGCACCATCAGATCATGTCAGTGTAGGATATATTAACTAGATCAAAGCATGGCACCATCAGATCATGTCAGTGTAGGATGTATCAGCCAGATCAAGGTATGGCACCATCAGATCATGTCAGTGTAGGATGTATTAGACAGATCAAGGTATGGCACCATCAGATCATGTCAGTGTAGGATGTATTAGACAGATCAAGGTATGGCACCATCAGATCATGTCAGTGTAGGATGTATCAGCCAGATCAAGGTATGGCACCATCAGATCATGTCAGTGTAGGATGTATTAGACAGATCAAGGTATGGCACCATC